CTGTAGGGTACGGGGATGATACAGAACTCTCTGTGCCTCTCTGTAGGGTAATAACAGAGGGTAATTACCCCCGGTATAGGTCTGTGAGTACCCTACAGAACCCGCCCTTGCAAAAAAGTGCGTGTAACCGCGTGATGATGTTCTACGAGCAGATGTTCGTGGGTTGCATAAGATACCACACCCCTGGGACCGATTTGTATTTTTCATAGCTCGCTTACTTGCCGGGGGAATAGGATTGCCACAATCAAAATGATGTAGCTCTCGATGAGACAGTTCTAATGCCACCATTTTCGGCAACGCCACTGGTTCCTGTGCTGCAGAGTGATCGGGCTTTGAAAATCGGTCCCACGGGATATGTGCTCTCATGCAACCTATGGGACAGCAGTAACATGGTGCAACCTACGGGACAGCAGTAACATGGTGCATCACACAGCAGTCAGCAATGACGCAATAGGGGCACCCCGTCAGAACACCGCACGCAAGAGGAGTTAGAACACAGCCGTACTCCCAGGTGAGGCAAAGCACTACATCACACCCACGAGACAAAACCCACAAGCACTGCATTACTGATGACTCTAAACTCGGTGTCTTGTTGCTGCTGCGCGTCTAAGAGATTCACTCGACACAACGACACACCCACCCGTTTGTTAGTAAACCATAATCGACTTCGTAAGTCGAAAGGGAAGGGACTGCTGTTCCCTTCTCGCGATAAAAATACCTCAGGCACGAACCGCAGGAGATGGTCCAACTCCCCCCTCCTGTGTGACCCCGGTTGGGTCGTCTAGCTAGTAGAAGTGGAGGATAGGGGCCAGAGGGGCAGACGACAGAGTCCAATGATGGGAGAAAAACAACAACAACAACAACCCACCCCCGGTTTGACGGCCCTTCTTGAGGTGACATGCGCAACATGTCATTGCTGGAACTCGCTGGTGTGCATAGTTTCAAACGCGGCGACACCGCAACAAAGGCAGAGGAAGTCCCGAAAACGCACAGCAGGGTGGTGATGAAGTACGTCATTCTTTGCAGGCGCCGGTCTCGCTCTCGCATGTGTGGGTGTTTTGACCGTCGCCTGCTGTCATGCTCAGCTATTTTGTCTCTGCGGAGCCCCGATGCCCCCCCCGCCGGATGAGGAAACGCGAAACGGCTAAAATTGCGCCGCGTCAACGAATGACGAACTTGAAACGGTCAATGACGACGTACCCCTGCACTGTACCTCTTCAAAGAAACAACGCAGAGAGCGTTTGGAGTCTCTCTCTCTCTCTCTCTGGAGAGGATCACATCCCTGTCAGGTTTTGGCACCCCAAGAACACGCTCAAAAAGTGATTTGTACACACATGTATTCTGATACCGGGGTCGTGGTCGGTATCTAGGCTATCTGAGCTCCTACCAAGTTACACCGAATCTACATGCAGTAGCAGCCTCAAGTGCTCCTCCTGCTCAGGCAGGAAACTGGGCTTGCGCGCAGAGAGCTACGCTCTTCCTTCCGCTACCAAACTCTGCTGGTAGATTCAAGAGGTCCGACCAGGCGAAGCAATGAACCTTGCCTTAGCAGCGTTCGGAGGCTACCCGGTGCCGACATGGGAGAGTCAGGAAGGCGCCCACACGCCGTCGGGGTCGAAGACGCCTATCATCATATGCGGATGGCTGCTCAAGATGAAGCGGGAGCACCGCAAATTTAGGTCGACCTGGAATAGACGCTGGTTTACGGTGGAGGATGGGGCATTCAACTGGTATAAGACCTCAAGGTGAGACACCCCCCCCGGTACGTTGGACAACATGTGTGTTGTTGGGTTTGGTCCAGAGGAAGTAGGCGGCAGGAGAGAGAGCTTGGCCGTGGCTGCGATGGGGGGGACAAGACATGTAATTTTTCCTTTAAATATTTTCGAGTGTTGAATTCGGAACGGGTTGTGCTCATTCCCTGGCCCTCTCCGCTAGGTGCATGTACAATGCCGTGCTCGCGTCGAAGCTAGCAAGGGACAACGGCAGTCAGCTCTAGTAATAGTGTGTCTCCTCTCTGGTAGTCTGTTGCCATTTTCTTTGCAAACCCAGCCAAGGTTCGTCGAAGTGGCTGGCCTATATTTTTTTTATGAAGCTTCATTAGGCGACGAGCTTGTGTTGATGGGTTTGAGCGCCAACGATCCAGCCGAATCAGTAGAGGCAGGCCGCGAGCGCTGCCCGTCGCATGCACAGTAGAACGTGCCGATCACAGCCTGATACCCATCGACAACCAGCGAGGGGTCCAGCCCCTTCCAGAGTTACCTTCCTGTAACTTTCCCTCAGAAAAACAAGCGGAGAAGTATAAAACAATACCAGTAGTTTTAGGGGAAAACAATAGATTTCCGCAGCACGCTGAACCATATGCTGAACCATGGCTGGATTCACTGGCTCCATGTGCCCCTCCAAGAATAGAGAGATTCCTCACCCAACCAATCATCGAATTGCATGCTCATTATATACTGTTGGCCTTACAACGGATCCCCCCGGGGTGGGTTCATGAGAGCCCAGTGTCATCAAGGGGCGATGCAGGATGATAATTAAAGCGGACAGCAGGACCCGCAGTTAGTTGTGACGTTTCCGACGCTCAAAAGCTGAAAATGCTGACTTGTTCTCTGGCGTAAGTGTGTTTGGCTCGGAGAGCCCAGCGAACCTTGACCAGACCCAAAATATACAGATAGAGATGGATTCGAAGTGGTCATACTAACGAAATAAAACATATACAGATCTTTGTACGTACAAGAGTGCTACGTAAGGATGAAGAGGACCTACGAAGGCATGTCTCATGCATAGAGAAAGGCAAACCGCTCTTCTCAGTAAGCGTGGTGCGTTTTCAATCGCCCATCTCTACCGAAGTTAAATCTGTCTGGCGTAGGTTTGTGTTCTACTTCTTGAAGGCTTCCGCGTGTATGCGCTTCAGAATGTCTACATTGGGCCACCAGACGTTTCTGAAGGACACAATATGGCACACCGCTCAACGTTCCGCAAATCTACAACACCCACACCTACTACACACCCGTCCTCTTCCTCGTTTCGCACAGCTCTGACGCCTGCGGGAGGCTCTCGCTCCTGGACATCCACAGCGTCCGGAGGTACGTCGGGACGGAGCACGGCAGCTACACCTTCGTGGTCCACGCGACGGACCGCGAGATGCTCCTCCGGGCGGACAGCGCCAACGACGAGAGCAGGTGGATACGCGGCCTTACCCTCCAGACGGACCTGGTGCACGGGGGCACGTTTCAGGGCCCCCCCTCGGCTAAGAACAGGTGGGACAGAGACACGCGCAAGGGAGACACACGCACTAGCAAAGAGAGAAAACATGCTGCTGTCTTGCAGAACCTGACACGATCGAGGGAAACACAGACACGAGCAAAAAAAAAAGTACAGGTAGCACCCCGCTAACGTAAAGGATTCATTGCCGTTTTATCCTGGACCCTCATGTATGGGTAGAGATGCAGTCGTTGGGTTACATTTACAAAACAATTAAGTAAGAGTCGCCTTATCTCAATCACTCGGGCTAGAGAGTCTTCTCCAGCCATCGGGGTGGACGTGCGCACGAGAAGCTTCCGGAGACAAGCGCGGGGTCATTGATATCCGCAACCTCTCGGCGGTCTTCAGGCCCAGACAGATTCCCCCGCCCCCCCCACCCCACCCCCCGCAACGGCCGCGGCGGCTGCTTCCTTCCCATGGTTGGCCAGAGGAGGGTTCGGAGCGGCAACACAGCTGGTGCCATGAGGGAGAGCTCAGGCCTTTGTATATTTGCGGTTCCGACTTCGAAGCCTGGGCCGGGGGCACAAGGTCGAATAGAGTCGCGCTCCTCGGCGAGGAGTAGGAAAGGTCTCGCGCCGTCCACACGCCTGCAAGCATAGGGTGGGGCGGGGGCCAGGTCGAGCGCGCGATAAAAAGACCACTAAATATATGGGCCGCTGTAGCTCGTTGGCTTCGACGAGGGGTTCGAACGAAACCGAACCCACCCTCCGTTGAAATCGATTCTTTTTTCTTTTTCCCGCCGCATTATGGCTCGCAGGCGACGGACGGTGCTCAAGCTGATGGGGGAGGGCTGCACAGGGGCTAACGGCGGCGACGGTGGAGAGGGCGACAACAAGACCACCGGGTGGGACCAAAAGGGGGATCGCGGTGGCGGCGGCGGCAAGAGCCGGGAGGGAGAGTGGAAGGGGGAGGGAAGCCAGTTCCGAGAGATCAACAAGAAGATCCGGGCCCTCATGAACGACCACGACAACAGGGCCGGCGGCGGCAACAACAGCAGCACCGGCGCCGCCGGGGACAACAGCAAGCCGACCAGGTTGTACTCGGAGCGGCAGCCCGCCCAAAAGCTCAAGATAACCCCCCGGGATCCGAGGGGGATCAGCATCGTCGGGGGGAGAGGGCTCGGGAAGTTTCCCGAAAAGAACGGCGGCGGTGGCGATAACGGGACGGGGGCGAGGCGTTTTTCTACGAAGGTCGTGCCCATCTCGGAGATTCCACCTACCCGCTCGTGCGTCTCGCAGCAGGAGAGCGAGGGCGGCGGCGGCGGTAGCAGCGTTAACGAGACCTCCCAAAACGTCAGCACCGCCAGCACCATCAGCAGCAGGAGCAGCGGCAGCATGAGCCCCGAAGACGGACGGTGGACGGTTATCACCGGTGTCGGCGCGAGAGGAAGTAGCGGCGGCAGCAGCGGCAGATCAAAACCTCCCATGCCGAGCGGACCCCCTCCCACCAACGTCCGCGGGGTTCGCACCGCCAAGCTTGTCGGCGGCGGCGGCGGCGGCGGCGGCGGCGGCGGTACCGGCGACCACGGGACCCTCTCCGACACCGCGAGCTCCGACGAGAAGGACAACGTGAGAGGACACTGGAAATCGCGCAGCAGGGTCGTCGCGCGGAGGGCGGGGAACGAGGCCAGTCGGGGCAGCGGTGCGAGGAGATCGAAGCAGCACCGATATAGCGCGGGTGGCAACGGTGGCGGCGATGGCGGCGGTAGGCATGGTAGTTTTTCCCACCGCGGGGCGCGGAAGGGTGCCGGGGCGGCAGGAGGGCGGCGAGACCGGAACGATTTCGAGAGTCTGGACGATGTGTCCTCGTCGGAGGAGAGGTGAGTACCTTTTCTGTCCGCCCCCACCTTCTCGACTACCGAGGAGAAAACTCCACGCACTGCATATCGCTGTAGGCCTTGCAACGCTAAGTAAATACATCGCAGTGAGATATATATATATATATATATATATATATATAGAGAGAGAAAGATATAGAGAGATAGAACGAGAGAGACAGAGAGAGAGAGAGAGACAGACAGAGACAGACAGAGAGAGAGAGAGAGAGAGAGAGAGAGAGAGACAGAGAGAGAGACAGAGAGAGAGACAGAGAGAGAGGCAGAGAGAGACAGAGACAGAGACGGAGACAGAGACAGGGACAGAGGCAGAGACAGAAAGACAGAGAGACAGAGAGATAGACATGCACACACACAGGTCTTGTCATCGGTCAGCCGGTGGGCGCGGTCGATGCTAATAAGTATATATATAGAAAGAGAGATGACCTCTCTGTTTTAGCACAACTTGCCGCCGACCACTACTGTCCCCAACTCCCGCACCGCGCGCATCCCCCGCACAAGGCTGCGACCTACCCTTCTCCCAGTTCCCCAAAGCCCTCTAACCAATACTAATGCTCTTTTTTCCTGTCGGAAACACAACGCTCGCTTTGTTACTACAGCAGCAGCTCCAGAACCCGAGGGGATCCATTCATGGACGACGACGTCTCCGCGGAAACGGGCCGCGGTGGCTCCACCCCCCGCGACCACACCTCCGGGGCGGCGAACCGTTCGTCGACGGTGGCAACAAACAGAAGAAGAGACGCCAGCGCCAGTACCAGCGCCAGCGCCAGCGGCGGCGGGAGCAGCCCGGGGGGCGATGCCGCAGACATCGACCAGTACCACCGATACCCGCAGAAGAAGAAGAAGCACCAGCAGCAGCACCGGTACGGGCGGCGGCAGCGGCGCCCCAGCCACGACGAAGTCACGTCCGGCAGCAACTTGTCTTCCTTCTCCTCCTCCCCGCGTTCCCCCACCGCGGCCAGCAGCAGCAGGCAGAGAAGGAGGAGCGGGCAAAACTTCGACAACGACGATTTCAGCCGCGGGGACGGGGACGAGGAAGAAAAAGAGGTCTCCGTCGACAGGACCAATTACTGGCTCCAGTCCGGGTACGCCGGCGGCAACGGCGCGGCAGGCTACTACGCCGCCTCCGCCGGTTGCAGCGGACGAGGAGGAGGCAGCGGCCGCAGCGCCAGAGGTGCCAGCGGCGGTAGTGCCACTGCGGAGGACATGTCGTGGAACGCCGGGATGATGGGCGGGATGAGCTCGCGATCTCGCGGGTCCTCGCGTGGCAACTCGGGCAGCGGCAGCAGCGGGCGCGGCGGCAGCGGGCTGCCGCGAAGGTACCTCACGGAGCAGAGCATGCTTCGTCAGCAGGGCTGGTGACGACGCGGTCGATCGAGCTGGCTTCAAAGAGGAGCAAGAAAAACACAAACGACACATCTTACATTCGTTTAGTAGGGGAGATCAGAAATATGCCAGTTTGATTCGTCACAATTCCTTGTGTTAAATAAACCTGGTATTGGTCATCTTAGTTCGTCACAATTCTATTAGATACAACTGCTGATTATTTTCGACTGCGTGGAAGACGATTGTGTAGCGACAGCACAAGCAAGCACGCTATAGGCGGAGGAGGAAGTCTGCCTGTCTGTCGTACGCCCGACCGACGTGCATCGGCCGGGTTTTCGACAAAGCACGGGAGAAATAAGCGCGAGACCTTTGAAGATTCAAGGCGTCCCCAGTATTTCTGTCCGCGGCACAGCGCGCGTAGGAGGTACTTGTTTTTTTCTGGGGGTTTAGCCTAGGCCATCTTCCATCGCCACCAGGTGTAGGTTTTTGGGTGGAAACACACGCTGTCTGCGTAGACGTTCATTGGAAATACTTTACTGTGTGCGTGTTTATTATTTTTACATACTAGTCCATATGTAGATACGTAAACAAAAGACCATCCGTTCAAGATATAATGTGCTACCACAGCAACCAGTCGAACGGAAACTCCTTGCGTGAACCTGCTTGACACTTTTTGCTGGGGGGTGGGTGGGGAGGAGGCCCGGACAGGCACGGTGGGTTTCTTTGCAGTTGGCTGGCCTGTCGCCCCTGGTATAGCTAGAGCAGGTTAAATGAGTGCTGCGGTAGGCACGTTGGTTGGCCCTGCTTCCGTGGAACTTCAGGCGCAAAGATAAGTACCGCGGGTGGGCCTGTCTGGTGTAGCACAGGAACCGTCAGCGACGGGGTGACCACGCAAGGAGGAGGAGACTCATGCACGGAACGCGACACGTTGTGAAAAACACATTGTAGAGATTTTTTTTCTTGCATTTGATGGCACAGCAGGGTGGGCATAGCGAAACACAAAGCCATGTTGAAAACGACTCTTGGGGCCACCTCCTTTCGCTGTGTTCCGCTGTATCTTCGGAAGGATGTCGAGCACGGAATGAACGCGCCTGACTTGATTGAGCCCATACCATGAATCAGGCGACCACGTGACTTGAGTTGTAGGGGCGGCAAGGGGAACAGACGAAAAAGGTTCGCTGAATCGACAAAAACAGAAGAAGTTGTTGTTCAGCAAAAAAGACCGATGTTGGACACAATCGATCAAGATATCCTGGTGCTCGAGGCAAAAATATATATATACACAGAACGGGCCCGGAGACAAGAAAAGTCAAATTCGGGTCGAGCCTCGATTTCCTATTTTGGGCAGAAACACTACACCTGTAGCCATTCGGCTACGCTGCCAGGGTGGGGAGATATCACCCTGGCGAGGTCACCCTAAAAGACTACCTTGCACGCGTGACCCGGCTGCTAGGTGGACACCATGCCAGGGTACCGATCGCACACCCTTTGCGTACCCTGCCACTCAGGGACCCTCGCGGGGTAAACACCCTGGGAAAACCCTGTAGAGACCATGGCAGTTGTACTAACGGCGCCCGAAAATTGGAGATTTTCCTTTCGAATGTTTCTTTCATTTATCTTTTTGTCGCGTCCCTCGCAGCGGCATTTAGTGCTCCTACACGTACAAAAACGCTCATCGCTCATCGACACCATTTACAGCAGGATGCATCCCAAAACCCAATCCATCAATAAGAATTCACAATATTGGGGCTCACAACCCAAATTTGGACGACCACGTTCGACATTGCAAAACGTAGTCACGACGTGCACCAACCAACTCAGAACGCATCGTGAACCACACGATCTATGAACACAAAGCACAAAAATGACCCGAAACAAAATGCATCAACCCACTCCTTCCCTTCCAAAAAACCGCACCCCTTGCCTTTAGGTTCACGCAAGTCGCATGTTCCCGCTCAAGCCCACATTCTTGCGCATACGGAGACTCAACTCAACGAAATTAAGCTCCAACCAAACCTATTTGGCCCCTTGTCCGTAGCACCGCCACTTGGGGTGCCCCTCGCCCCGGTGACACGTCCAAGGTACGCACGCACTTATCGAACTGCAGGCGTGACGCGTGCCTCGATAATACACCGTGACAAAAGAAAAGTGCCACTGCTTCACGATATAGACTGCCTGTACACTATTGCCGAACGCTATGTACAAGCAACCTGCTCCCTCCCACTCCCACCAAACACCACACCAAGCGCTAAGCCCGAGAACATTGCCAGCAATCTCGCGACCCATGCGGATGCTGAGCGTTGATCCGTCCATCTCGTCGAGAAATGCGCCGAGCTCGGCATCGTCGACGTGTACGTCTGCGGCCGGGGTGTCCTCCACGATGAGATTGTCGTCCCCGCAGGCGTACGGGGACAGGACGCGCATGATCTTGGGGTTCCCGTAGTGCGACTTGGCGATGGTCAGGAGTCCGGAGGCTATGCGACGCGGGCCCGTCATTAACTGGAGCATGGAGTACCAGAAACTGTTCCAAAGCACGTAGGGAAACGGAAGGCATGGATGCGCAACGACATGAAACAAAAAGTTCATGTTTGATTCCAGAGTGGACGAAAACTCGGTTAGGTGGGGTGACAAGCAAAATGCGTGACGAGCGTAAAGAACATGAGAATAATACAGTTTTATTCCGTGACGTACAACATGGAGGTGAAAGATTGTGTTCGTAACAGCGTAAGAGTAGGAGGTGGGGGGGGGGTCTGAAAAAACGAAAATATCACCCCCAGGGCGACCCTAGACTATTCGGGGAATTCCTACACGTGCAGAAGAAAAACGGAACACGTCTGGCCTAACTGCATCAGCATGAAACAATACTTTGGAGTAAACAAAACAAGAGGGGCGGGGGGCACTCACTGCATGAGTGCTGTCACGCATACCTTACCTGATCCTTCTCTCGTTGCCGTTGGACAATTTTGTACTTCAACATGTAGGCTGCCGCTATATTCCGTGTCCGGGTGTGAGTGTCCCGGTGAATGTCTATGCGAGGCAAGTTTCACCTGAGATTGCGATGCCGACGAAAGGTTGCGCCCGATTACTCCCGAGTGTGTGCCTTGACCTGCTGTCCTGTAGAGGTCCACTTTACCCTTTAGCGGCCGGCTGGGTCAAAGCAGTTTTTGCTGGTTGGGGTGGACCTCCACATGCTCTCCCGCCAATCCGAACCGCATCAATACATCGGTTCTCGTCGGCGGGAAGGAAAGCTGTGGCATCCAGTGCTTAATATCGACATTACACGGCACTTGCGATCCGTGGTTCGTGGTGGGTGGCGCGTGCGGTCGTGTGGTCGTGTTTCGTGTCCACCTCCCTTCTACCCTTTCTGCGTCCCAGGGGCGCGGCGGCTAAGATTTGAAGCGTACGGGGGCTCCGTTGATGAAGACGGATGACAGCCCCGCGCGCGCAATGAAATCATCAATCTGATCACGGTAACTATCCATGTCATGCCGCACCGCATGCAGTCACTCTGCCATCAACAAATGCTGTACCACACACCTCTGTGGATCTGCCCGTAGTGTGATGAATGGTGCGTAAGAGGACGCGAAGTGTCCTCACTAAGGCTGCAAGTTTCAACATCGCAATGTGCCAAATCTCCCTTCTTCCCCTCTGTAAGATATACTCGCAGCAGTCTCTAGACGTGAGGATCCTCGGG